CCGCGGTGTAATTTCACGCTGAGGAGTCTGATGGGGCTTCCTGCAGACTGATCCTTTATGGATCAGAAAACTCACTTTCTCTTTGTGTTAGAGGGTCCAGAGATTATCTTATTAACCATTTCCATGCCAGCACAGATCAAACACCAGAAGAGGCTCTGCCCCTTCTGAGGACTCCTCTGTCAAGCATCTTTTCCTTTCCTGGGGGCTTATATTGCAGAAATAGAGAACATTAGAAATTCTAATCCTAACATAGGTTGCCATATTTACGTGAGCAGCTAATTTATCCTGTATTTTCTTGGCTTGGGTGCAACACCAGCCTTGTTTGAATCCAAAAAATCAGTTTAAGCAGATTCATTAATCCACAATAGTCTTCCTGTATCCCTTCTCCAGGTTCTTTACTTCCCCTTTTTGTCCTCTAAAAATACAATGCTTAAATTTCTTCAGCAGCAAAGCCCTTCAGGTTCCACCTACCCTGGAGCTGCTAGTTTAATCTGTAGGAGGTAGAGGTTGTATAGGGAGCTGGTCAGTGAAGACGTTTTCCCAGGACAGACCCATCAACAGACCATTCTGCACCATCTGAAGTGCCACACTCACCTGTGCTGTGCACAACAAACTCCTGCTCTCACACAAGTGCCTGTTTCTGCAGGTTGGGAGCAGCTCCAGCTTGCTCTGATGAGCCCTTTGAGCTGCCTATTTAGGCATCTCCCTGTGCATCAACACAGTGTCCTGAATCAGGGTCATTTCATCCCTTTCTTAGTTCACCTGATGCACCAAATTGCAAGCTCTTCAATGGAGGCTTTAGTAACTTCAGTCATTTTAATTGAGGATATTGTTGGCACCTGCTGAAACATCACACTACAGAAGTGAGTGACAAATGTCTCCACCATCACCAAATTTTTTTGCAGTAATGGGAAACAAACGTTTATCTGCTTTTACAACTTTTTTTTTTTTTAATGAAAATAGCATCACCTGCATCTTATCACGGCCAATCATTTAATGGCTCTCTAAGCAATAAATAGCCCTTCTGAACAACATAGTTGTGTAAATCTCTTTCCAACTGCTGCCCTGCTTGATTAAGATGTGTTCTTGACTGTCCCCTCTTGCCAAGTGACCTAAGAAACCCTTGGGGGAAGTGTGCAACTTGCACCCTTTAATTTTACATCTACAACTTGAGGACCTTCTTGTCCACCGGGGTGAGGTGGAGCAGGGTTGTCAGGCACTGGGGGCTTTGACTGCTGCTGCTGGAAGGGATCTAGAGCCATGGGGCTGCCTGTCCCCAGTGTCACCTCCCTCACCAGCAGCACGGAGCTGCAGGCTAAGGCAGCAGGTGGAATTAAGGGAATGATGTTGGAAGCAGAGCCCAGGAAGGGCCTTTGCCCTGAAAGGGGGGAGATCTTCAGCGCCAATAAAGGCAAAGCCCCCTGTTCTGCCTGGTGCGGCAGGTAGCCTGGAGCTGGCGCCTGCTCGAGGGACCCTCGCAAGCCGGCAGAGCCCCGAGCAGGCAGGAGCGCTGTTTGTTTAGACCCGTGTGGGTTAGGCGGCTCAGGCTTTATTCTTGCACTTTGATAGGTTCCTAAATGAAAATCCAATAATATTTTAAGCAGAACGAGTTCCCATGAAAGTGATTTCTAAAGCGCCCGGCTCATCCTACCTGTCGGCTGGATTCTCCATCCCCAGTGGCCTAAGCCGCGCGTAACGGCGCTGCTCCGGAGGCCGCTACTCCAGGAGCAGAGTCCGGCCGAGCCGGGGCCGACACCAGCTCCCGCTGCCCTTTAATGAACACGTAAATAGACGGGAGGCTGCTGAGCAGAGCAGCCCCTCAGTCGGGAGGTTCTCCAAAGCAGCTCGGCAGAAATAATACTTTATTCCTGGTGGTGCAAATAACTGATAGGCGCGGGCTAAGAAGGGTTCATGCAAATACTCCCGAATTAAGCTCCATCTGAAGTTAGAAAGGAAAGATGATAAACACACCCGGCTTTAAAACTGCAAAATATGCTTTGCAGGCATGAAACCGGAGGAGTAACAAAACTATCTGACATCATATTAAACAGCAAAGCATTTCTTATTCTCAAGGCTGCAGTTACCTAAAACCACAGTCCCATTAAAGAGCCCTAACTATTATTTACATTTCTAAATCTTAAAACCATTAACAAAAGCCACTTAATTCAATTACTTTCCCTGGGCGCCAATGTTATTACATTATTGTCATGAAGCCGAGTTTGGCTCTGGGTTTCTCTTTTTTTTTTTTAATTCATTCCTCTTTTCTCCACACCAAGTGCCTCCCTCCCACCTCCCTCTCCTCCTCTCTCCCGATGTCATTGTGTAGAACTAATGGGGTAAACTGAAATGGTATCTGTCCTCATTGACAGGTTTATGAGAATTTAATAAAGCGTGGCGCGGATAAAATGAGATATTACAAGGCCACACAAAGCTGATTGACTTCTCCACGTCAGCATTTTTATTTGGTTATTTATTTATTTCTGCTCAACGCCGGGGTGATCTCGGCAGTTCTTCAGTGCTGCCGGCCCGCGGGAGACGCGATGGGGAGGGAAGGTGTGGGAGGCAGCAGGGACCTCTCCATGCATGGGCTGGTTCGTTTTAAAGAAGGAGCTCGAGGAGGTGAGTTTCTGATGGCACCAGGGGGATGAAATGGCAGGAGATGAGCAAGAGTCCCTCTGTGGCTGCTTCTGCACGCTCAGACCCCTTGGACCTCCCTGGCACCTGGGTCGAGCTCTCTCCAAGCTCCTGATGTGATGATGCTAAAATGGTCCCCCCTTAGCCCACCCTGTAGACCCTGCCCAGACTGAGGTGCAGGAGGGTTTATGTCAGTCGGTGCACAGACTGATCAAATCTGCCATAGGACCCAGAGGGTCCCCAGGAAGGAGAGTCCTGCTCCTGCCATCAGGAAGCTCCTGCAAGCTGCTCCCAGCCAGGCGCACGTCTGCTCCTGGCCTCAGCTTCTCCCTCTGTCCAGCGCCTCTCCTGCTCTTTTAAATGTTAATTGGAGTTTGACAGATCAAACCTTCCCTCTGGGAGCACTGGGAATGTCCGGGTGTACGTGGAAGCGGATGCTCCCACCCCATGGCAAGCAGGGAGAGCTGCCTGGCCTGGAAATCCTGTGCGGTCCCTGGCTGGTTGTCTCCCTCTCCTGGCCTGTTCAGAAAGTGAGGCTCAGAAAAAAACCATGAACCTGTTCCAGGTAAGTGTTTTTCTAGGCAAGGAAAAGTCGTGCTGGTGCCCAAAGAGATCTGATTTCAGCCTAGACGTGCTGAGAGACACAGAAGGGCTCAGGATCCCACTTAAATCTTAACCTCAATCTACGGGAGAATGTTTCTTTGTAAGAAGATTGTCGAGATTAAACCCAGGTCCCGTTAGACTCAAAATTTGGCCTGTGTTGGCTTGAAACTCAAATAATTCCCACCATTTCCCCCACTCCCTCTATGTTTAATCAATGAGAGGGGCAGAGAGGCCCTTGCAGGTTCAAAAGCACAGGGAGCTTCGCACGCAGCGAGGCCAGAGCTGGCAGAGCAGACCAGCACCCCGAGGGTCCGAGCCACCACCCTGGGCACGGGCACAAACCCCAGCAGCAGCGGGTTGAGCACTGTAGTTCCAGGATCAAGCTCCTGAGACATCCTCCTTAGCAAAAGGAGACAAGCCAGGGAGGACCGGCAGCAAATCTCCCATTATTGCTTTAAGAGGACTTAAAATCACTTGAAATCAAAGTGTTGCTTCCTACAAATGCTCAAGCTGTCCCATGACCCGAAGAGACAGAGAAGAGGCTGCTGCTCCATTAGTGCTCACTGCACAAGCCAAGTGCAGGCTTATAGGGCGCAAAGGCCTCTGGAGCCCCAGGTTTAGGCCAGACCAGCAGCTCAATCCTGCTCTCTGGTGGCTCTCACCCGAAAGGCCGTATTGCATCCAGCAACCTCCTCCTCTCAGAGGACAGGGCCACCACTGCTTGTGACCCCAGTAGTGGGTTTAATCGAGTCAAAAGACCCCGAGCAGCATCCTATAAAGGCCAGGTTCATACTGTGCAGTGCTCAGGAGCATTTCACCCTCTTCTCCATGCTGGCTACACTCTAGATAAAGTTTTAGAAACAGAGATGACCCCTTATTCTCTTCTCCAAAATGCACTACTACAGAAACAGAGGTGGCCAAACTTGTCGCCCCTCTCCAGCTTTGCTGCCTTGGCTCTGCTCCCCCAGAGTTGCTCAGGATGTAAATGTATGTAAATCTTTGGCAGTATCCACAATAGCCCCTATCTCCTGCTCTCTCTCTCTCTCCAAGCAGCTGGAGTAATTACAGTGCAGCAGTGCCAAAATGAGGCATTTCTGCTGATGAATGCACTCAATCTAAGCACAGTTTTATGTATCATTAATTCCTTTAGCATTCAAAAAAATAACTTTTTTGATGGCAGATAATACTGTAATCACTCACAATTGCCAATACAATTATCTTCATTCAGCTGTGTAAAACAACTATGGGAGTAATTTTAGCCACTTAAATTTCCTTTCTCCCTCTTTTATTTTCTTATTTTTTAACGTTCACATGAAGTTCAAAGCTGCTTGGTCTCAGGTTGCTGTGACAATCACTACTCATTCTCCAAGCTGCACACAGAGGAAGAGGTTTTCAGAGCCAGCCCTCTGTCCTCATGTTTGCATGTTAAGCTTAAGACGGTTTAAGCAATCTTAGGGATCTCCCAAAGGGTTCCAGCATCCCAGGCACCTCACTGCTAATCACTTTCCCGATGTCCCACCAAGCCACCACACAATACCTCTTCCATGTTACATATGCAGCAGCCAGCTAAGGGTAAAAAGTACTTATAAAATCCCCAAAAGCTCTTCTAGCTAGCAAGCCACAGAATTTAATAGGCCAAGTGAAGGGGAATGTCTCCTCTTAAAGATATTTTGAGAGGTCCTCGTGCTGCTAAGGGACCCCTGACACTTTTCACAGGCACAGAAAGTGAGCAGTGACAAGGAGGGTCAGCACAGCAGCTGAGTTGCATTCCAAGTTTTATTTCCACAGAGGGGGAAGTGAGGATTTGCATATCACAGAGCAGTGAGCTTAACCAGGGTGATGGGTTGGCTTTGGTCCTCGCTTGACATGTCACCTTCAGCTGCCTGTGTTTGCCCATCAGGCTGTGAGACACCAGGCTGTCGGTCCCTCTCTTCATCCCTCCGGGGTACCTGTGTTTGCACATCAAACTCTAACTCACCATGGTGGTTGTGGGTCCCTCTCCTCATCCCTCTAGGATTCCTGTGTCTGCATTATCAAGCTCTGACTCACCAGTCTGCGTGTCTCTCTCTCCATCCTTCTGGGATGCCTGTGTTTGCGCATCAGGCTTCGCCTCATGAGGCTGCAGGTCCCCTTTTTTATCAGGTGGGCGAATCAGGACTGGCCCTTCATTCTCCTCATCTGACCAGGACGCCAGTGTTGCCACATCAGGCTCAGGTGACAACATTTTTACATCACTCTGCTTCACCGGTGTTGATGTGAGAGGCTGGAATGATGCTGTTTGCCCATCGCTCTCCATGTCTGGTTGGAGAACAGCTGCTTGCAGGTCATCCTTCTGGTCATCAGCGATGATGATTCGCAAGGCTGTTCTGTGCACAGTTGGGCACGCCTCTGCCTTGCTGATCGTGTGGGACACCTCTGGCAACGTGCAACTCAACTTTAGGGGCTGCCAAGCCACAGAGTCTTCTCCCAGTGAGGTCTCATTTAGTCCATGGCTCTGGACTGGGCTAGACCCAGAATCATCACTTCTCTGTTTCTTCTCACAGGTCAGTCTTTCAACCTCTTTCATGAACCGAAGGCACAGCTCCTCCTGCCATGGTAAAGCCACACACTGGACAGCCACAGGCAGCCCTACCGCTCCTTCCACTGCCTAAAACAGATGGAGAGCAGAGAAGCATAACAGGTCATACTCAAAGCTGAAAATCTAGTACATCTCCAAGTTTTGGTGGAAGGAAGGTCTCCAGGACCTTAATGAACGTACCACAGAGCAGGAGCCACACAGAGGAGCACTGTCCTGACCCAAGGTCCTTGGAGAATAAGAAATTCAGGATACCTTTTCTTGAAGGGGGTGGAAATATCCTCTTCTCCAGGAGCAAAGCTAGGCTCCAAGTGGTCCCATATACAGCAATTTATGGTGTCACCAACAGCAAACTCTTGTGAAAGTGTTTGGGCTTTTGGAGTTTGCCACCAAACCAGCTCAATGGGATCAGGCTATAACAAGCCAAAGGCAGACTAGCTAAGCCTTTAGCGCTAACACCTCAGCAAAGGAAGACAAGCAGAAGAGCAAAGACCCCATATGCTTAAATTGTGCCAGGTTTGGGGCTACATGACAGCAGCTGAGGTTTTCTCAAAGCATGAAGTCCACACAACCCCCACAGTCCAGATGGGATTACTGTGATCTGACAGAGTGAGCTCTGCAGCAACAAGTTTGCCCTGAACTTCCCAAGCCCTGGAAAGGACCTGTCCTTCTCACCTTCCTCAGCCCCTTGTCCCAGGGCTCATCCAAGTACCCACTGTAAAGCTGCAGCTGCTCTTCATCTGCCTCTGTGACCTTGGTGACAGGCACGACTCCCACGGGGAAGTTGAGGATGTTGTACAACATAGTGGAGGACAGAGCATCTGGGAAAGAGGGGGAAAGAGTGAGAAATCCTGGGAGCCTGTGTAAGGCCTGTGACGTGCCCAAAACACTGAGGTGGGCTCGCATCCTGCTGCTTCAAACACAGGTGTCCACACCATGCAAGCAGAAGCAGAACATTTTAGAGGCTGGAGCAGTTCCTGACAGAGGACTTAGCTGGCCAGCATTAACCATAGACAAGAGCAGTTGAACCAGCTAATTTATCACTTCAGTCCCCCACCTTGAAACTAGCTACCTTCCTAGTAGCTGAAATATTTTTGGCATTCAGGATCCTTAGGTTGTGATCATCCCAGCTTTCATTTTGCCTTAATATCACCCCTTGAGATCCTACAGGCAGGATGAGAAGGGAAAGTTTGAGCCATATGGAAACAAAGCTAGGACTTCCACAAGGATTTTCTTGGATTTCTCTACTTTTAGGTAAGATGGGTGCATTTCCAGCTGAGTCTGTCTATTTGTTATCTGCTCTTTGAGGCTTACCAAGATTTGTCTCCACATGGTCCAAGGTGAAGGCTGGTCCCAGCACAGGGCACAGCACAACATCCAGGTCAAGGTTCTTCCATCGGGTGATGAATTCCCAGCGATAAACCTGGCCACAGAGAGTCAAGAGATTGTTACGAATTCCAGGATGCACCAGCCTCCTCTTCTCTTGGGAGCTTGTGGTGCTTTGCCAGCTCCACAGGTGATGAGAGTGGTGCAGAGAAGTGCAGACCAGCCACACTTACAGCACTGCGTCCAGGGAGGGGAGCTTGTCCCCTCTCTATATAACCCTATCATCCTCTGTAGCACGTTAGCAGTCAATATGGATTTGACATTTTATGCTCCTGACAGCACTATATGTTGTACCCATTTGTAATCTGTTACTTTCAGCTGTCTGGGAGCAATACTAGAGTTTTACAGACCAGAGCAGTGACTGAAGCTTTAGGGTGTTTGCTTTCAGCAAGCAGGTGAACAGCATGAGTAGGCTGCAAGCGCCAGGAAAAAGGGAACGTGTTTGGATCAGTCACCAGTAATTCCCACTTCTCTAAAAGTGTTTTGCTGTTTCTCATTCAGGACAAAATCTTTGATGCTGACAAAGACACAAGCTACATTGCAAGACTGACTTCTGGGAAATCTTTTCCTTCCCACGGCTGTAATAGCAAAAGTGTCCTCTGTGGAGCAGTAAAATTCAATTCTGCACTTTTTGCAAGAAGCATGAAGCCACCTGGGATTCAGAGCACACTGTTTTCTGCATGGATAGTGACCTTACAAAAATCAGGGTCCAGGATTTTATCTGTGGATGTCACACAACAGTCTGAGAACCTATGTCATACAACCATCACCATCCCACCAGCAGGGAGACAACCTCCCTCAGGAGCAGGGATGGTATTTATCACGTTCAAGGAATCCCGTTACCATCATGGCAGCACGGAGGTCCGCGAGTTCCTTTGGTGACCTGCAATGAGCCAAACACAGGTGATGGTCACTGAGTGGATGCAAAGCCTCCCTAGGAAAGGGGGCAGAACGTGTGCAATGCAGTAAGGCCACTAGCCCCACACACAGCCCCGAGAAATGCTGCAGCAAAACTCTCCTTACACTGCACAGTGGGCCCAGCTGAAATCTCACTACACATTTATTGTGGCTCTGTAGCCACGCAGTGATTACAAGAACAACTCAGGGGGCTGTTCTTCTCGTCAGCAGGGAAAGGAAATCACTGTCTCATGACTGTTCTTATGCCTACTACTCGCAGTTGCCATCTGGCTAATCCACCCACCAGAACAGTTGTTCTAAAGCAGAGAGACTGACCAGAGCTTGTGCTCAGTTTTCTTCCCTGTGTTATACTGCAAAGCCCCTTTTTGCAGCAACCTGCCCCCACCCCAGTGTCTGACCCCCAAAAGGTTCTTACTGTGCTCCACATGGCATGTCCAAACAGCTGGCAAAACTGGGGAACTGCAAAGGAATGAACAGTGGCCATCAGTGGACAAGCTGAGGATGGCTGTGGCTGTAACAGGCTGTGGTTTGGTTCTGGAATATGTGGGCTTGATTCCACAATAGGTGTCTCTGCCTATAGGTGTCTTCAGTCCCTATGCACCTTTCCCAGTTGCAGACACCAGCGCCAGATCCCATCCATCATTCTGCAGCCTCCCTGGCTCTCTGGACTGCTGCCCTCTTCCTCTGCCTTTGCTGCTGCTCTGCACATCACAGCCAGGACCTTGAGATGGGTTTGTGCTCTGCAGCGAGGGGGCTGAGGCACAGAGCAATGATCTGCCTTGACCAAAGACCCTAGAGAAGTGAGTGGCTGGGCTGAGGATGCAGCAACCCTGGTTCACAGGCCACCAGCTCTAACTACTACCTAAAATTCCTGTTCCATTTTGAAGGCTGCTTCTAGCAGCCACCAGAAAGACATTTGTTTTGGCCTTCCAGAGAAATTTGAGCCCCACATTCACCATTCAACTCCTCACCCAGGTTCCTACTACCCTCAAGAGTAGCTGAATCCCTTTTTGTCAGAGCTGGTGATTCAGAGTTGTCAGAAGAGCATCAATATTTGGAAGTGACCTGGGAGAGAGGAGGCAAAATCCCATGGCTGGGAGTCAGCAGGCTTTCAGAGAGCCCAAGCTGTGCTGCACTTTTCCTGTCTGACCTTGGGCCACAGGTTAGAAAGCAGAGTCCACACCATTAGGCTACCACAGGATTCAGGCTGGCCTTTGGGTCCACTCTGCCTTAGCTTTGGCTATTGCTTCACCTTGAATCAAGCTTTCTCTTGGGTATGTGGCCACCTTGGTCCAAAGCCACTACCACCATCTCAAAAAACAGCCAGATCAAGCCAGGCAGCTCCAGTCTCTAGGTTCTCCTTTTGTTGACACTGTTCTGCTCCTTGGAGTAACTCAGGAGCTCTGAGATGGACCCAGCACCATCCCTATCTTCTGAGGGATATGTCCCTCTGCACCCAGGGGCAGGATGTGGTAAATGGCAGGCCACTCACCAGGGGCTTTAGGAGACAAGCCAGGATCTTTCTCAGCACAGTTGGGAGCACATCACAGCGGATGAAGTGGCTACAGCCTGGGTCCAGACAGTCCAGTTTGCTTGGAGAGAAAGACAAGGATGAGGTGGGCAGGAGTCAGTCTCATTGCTGACAACAAAGCAGGTCTCACTCTCTGATTTATTGATATGAATACACAAGCAGAAACCCTGCAATGAAACAAAGCCTCCACCTGGGAGAGCCCCACCATCTCCTGGTGACCCTGAGTGTTGTAAAGCAAAAAAAAAAAAAAACGAGGCAGAACTCTGTTCCCACCCAAAAAGGCCTCTGTGATGCTGTGCCCTGGGACTTCAATCCCACCAAACAGCTTATGCTAAGCAAGGAGAAGCAGTTAAACAGGAAAGAAACTAATTGTTTGTCCCCACTCAGGCTGCAGTAATGATCTAGCCAGGGAATGGGACTTCTGATGTGGTAAGGGCTGCTCTTAAGACATCTGAATTTGGCCCAAAGGGGCAAGGGAAAGAGCAGATATTGTTGCTGTTGATGTTTTAGTGCACCAGATGTGCTGCAGCCTGCAATACTGAGAGCCCTCCCACCTCCCCACAGGCACCCAGCACCCTTTCCTCCCTTGTCCCAAGTACAGAGGTAGGGATAGGACGCATCAGCCATACCACATGCACGCAGAAGCAGAGTTGCTGTCAGCAAAGAGCCCCTTCAAAAACAAGCTGTTCATTGCATAGTCAACACTGGGTGGAACAAAGGGGATCATCTGGGAGAGGAAGAGGACAGAAACTCAGTAAGCAGAATTTATAAGAGCTGATTCGCTATCTCTGGGGGTGACTTTTCTGGTGTCTAATAAACATCTGAATATAACCATCACTCTTTGCTCTGGGGAGATCATTATGGGAAATTCTCCCTTCTCTCCTCTCTTGGTAGTCTATATTCATGAAACTTTTGAGGTCATCTTAACTTGGATACCTCTGTATCTCTGTCAAAGTGAGGTAAATTTGGCTGAGGAGTGCAATATGAGGAGGAAAGCATAGACAGAAATGCACATACACATTCACGGACCCCCAAGGGGCCAGCTAGCTAACCTACCGTGTGTCCAGCCTCCTCAAGCAGCAGACGGGTCTCATAGACAGCCCGAGTCACACAGGGCGGAAGCAAGAAGTAGCCATCCAGGGAATAGAAGCCAATCCGAAGGGGAGTGGGACTGCTAAACACCTGTGAGAACAAGAAGCTAGAGAACAGCTGGGGGGAAGCTCAAGGTGAAAACTTCACACAAAGCTTAACCTCTTCTACATTATCTTTCCTCAGATTCTTCCCTCTATGTTTTGCCCTCATCACTTGTGGTCTATCTCAGTCTTTGTGGAGTTTAGTTTCAGGATAGCTGCAGAGATCTCAGCCCATGGTGCCAGGATTTTGGCTTAAGTGAGAACCTAACAAGCATTAGTTCCATTTATCGACCCGCCACTCTGTAATAACTACCTCCATGTTGAAGGGGATGGGTGGCACAGTAGGGTCCAAGCAGAACATGTCTTCACACAGAAGTGCTCTCATGCACAAGGCCAGACTGTCCACATCTCTTGCTATCGGCCCCACCACACCTGTAGCTGCCACAGAGAAAAATATACACAGCTTCTATGCCAAATACCTGTTCCTCAGCTAAACTGTTAAAGGTCACAGGATACGTCAAGGGTGAATGTGTTGCTCCCACACAAGATCATCTTGTTTTCTTTCTTTCCTTCCCACCTCCCATGATCATCAAAGAAGATCTTTTATTATGCAGCTACCAGAGATAGGAAATTTTAGGTCCATGAGATTTAGTCCCCAGGTTCACTTTACATTGCCTATGTTAACTTTTTTTTTTTTTTTTTTTTTTTTTTTAGACGGCATTCCCAATAA